CCGTTTTGTCCTTGGCATCTGATTGGACCATGTGTGCTCGGTTATCCTAATCCTTTCTTTTTGACACGAGTTGGACAGAATTGTTACTAACGCAAACAAGGTGGGATTGGAGTACGCAGTTTTTCAGCGAGGCCGATCGTGTTTTGTTTTCTTGCCATGATTAAGAGAAGGCTGGTTACGCGGTAAGGGTTTGGTGGAGCCAGTATAGGGAGGAGGGGAGAGAGACAAAGAGCGCAGTCGAATACATGCAGCTAAGTGACTGCAGGCCATGTCAGGCGCGGAGCCTGCAGGAGCTTCTTCTGTACACACAACGCCGGCTTCGTCAACCTGATAGCGATCGCTTCTGCGGTTGCTAGCAGGCGCTGATCCAGGGACTTTAGATAGTTTAGTGGGACCTTATAAGTCACCCGGAAGACTTCGTTGGGGTCCACACGATGTCCGGAATCAACAGTGTAGCCGAGGAATTCCCAGCAGACATATTCACGTAAGGAGTCTAACTTTACCGCGAAGGGAGAGGTACAATTACTTGGCGGAAATTTCCGCTCGAGCGACTGGTTGTTATTTTGATTGATTATGCTGCCGAGGCCACCTTGTTATAACAGCCGAAATGCCTCCCCTAAATCGCCTATTTCGTGTGTCCCAACCCATTCCTTTAGGTTTCCTCCACGTGAGAGTAAGTAGTGTTTTTTCCATCACGCTTCAACTAGCCCTCACATCAAGTATGCTTTGCTTGCGAGTGATTTTTCGATACGATCACAAATTTTGCGATCATAACGGTAATTATTCAGTTACCACTAGACCGGCATAGTCCAGACGTCCCCGTCTGATTTTGATCTTCATTAAATGGAGCAGGTTTCAACTTTGGCGCTCTTGGACCCTCTTTGACTACTAATCACTCCTATTGTAGATTCTCGCTCTCCACACGGCCAACTTTTCCTCTAGCAATGTGCGTCCTGTGTCTGTCTATTTGTGCAGTGATAACACCACTAGACAGTGTTGAAGAAATCTTAGAGCAATTCTGTTGGCATTCTTACCTGTTTATTTTAAATCTCTCCTGTTGTGTATGCATGCGTAGACTTAAACTCTCCCCAATGTACCAATTTTCTGCCCGTACACACAGCGATACTTTGATTTCTTCTTCCGATACCGGACGCAACAAGGAGGCTTTGGCTGCCTTTCATCAAATGCCTCGGCCTCAGCCTCCAAGCAAGACTTGTCCACCTCTCGGGCCGCAGAAGAAACCTCCATCACCACTGACACCAGTTCCAGCCCTATGGAACTCAGCGATGACCCCTTTGCAGGAGCACCGGCATCTCAGGTTGTCCCTATCCCATCATGTAAGCCTTCTTGCATTCCCCCCTCTCTAGGTCAAGTTTATTTTCCTCGCCATGTATTCTCGTCTCTACTCTTCTACAGCGACGCCTTCTAATAAACAACAATCGGCAACTTCGACACCATCCACGTCCCTAGATCTCTCCTTTCTATCAGCCAACGGCCG